GATGATTCAAGCCCATGACATTTGTTGTGCACTTTATTTCTATTATCATTGCATGGTAATATATAGTGAAATAATTATGCAACTCACCACAAAAAAAGAGGTGCAGATGGAAGTGGTAAATAAAATAATGGATGGGCCACATACGGACTAAAATAAGTGTTGGATTTTGACTTAAAGCCTCCCACCAGATGCAGCCGTACAGTTGAAGTACATCGACTCACTTGCCACTCACTGGCAGGGTTTTGATATGTGTCTGTAGCAACTGACTTATTCTGCTTTGTGTGCAGGCAAAGCTTGCTGCTCACGTTAATCTATGTTTTCAGCTGCTCCCCAGCGCTAGCATCACTCCCTCAGCTCCACCTCAGATCAGCAGGCATCCGTTCTCTTAAGGAGCATACAACCTAGATCCCTCATACGTGCAGTTCACAACTGGGTTCACACTCCTATGAGATTCTAATGCCACCCTTGATTTGACAGAAGACAGAACTCATGTGGTAATACCACTGATGGAGAGCAGCTGTAAACACAGAGGAAGCTTCACTTGCTCACCTGCTGCTCACCTCCTGCTGTGCAACCTGGTTCCTAACAGGCCATGGACAGGTACTGGCTTGTGGCCTGGGGATTGGAGACCCCTGCTCTAGTAGAGTATGCATAATAGACTTTGTAACATAATATTTTTTGAGTTTCCACATGTTTCAAATGGTGTTGTATGCTTTTGATTCTTGAAGGCCATCTAAAGTATATTGAATATATGTATGTCGTGCCTGGCGCAGTGGCTCATGCCTGTAATCCAAGCACTTTGGGAGGTGGAGGCAAGAGGATTGCCCGAGCCCACGGGTTTGAGACCAACCTGGGCAATATGGTGAGACCTCATCTCTACAATAAATAAAAAAATTTGCCAGGTGTGGTGGTGTGCACCTGTGGTTCCAGCTACTTAGAAGGTTGAAGTGGAAGGATGAGCCCAGCAGGTCGAGGTTGCGGTGGCTGTGAGCATACCACTGCACTTTAGCCTGGGTGACAGAGTGAATCTTCAACTCAAAAATAAATAAATAAAATATGTTGCTTTTTAAAAAAACCTCAGTTTCTTAAATATTGTTTCATAGTTACTGTGTTATCTACGATGCATGTTGCAGTTGAGAAGTGTAATACATACTTTTATTTTTTTTTAAATTTCTTATTCTTTTTGACTGATGGCCCAGAAAATTAAAAAAATTCATACTTAATGTTCAGTATTTTTATTTTCATTATATTATACTCTGAAATATGTTCCATGTATTACCTTGAATTTTGTTCAACATTCAGGTAATTGGTCCAGGATATCCATTCCCCTTCCCACAGATAGCAAAATCTGAGGATATTAAGGTCCTTATATAAAATAGGACAGTATTTACATACATCCTGCACATATATAATGTAAATAAAATATAAGTAGCTGTTGTGCTGTTTTTTTAAAATTTGTTTTATTTTTGTTGTTTTTTTTTTTTTTTTTATGAGTTGGAGTCTCATTCTGTTATCCGGGCTAGAGTACAGTGGCACACTCATGGCTACTGCCACCTCCACCCTGGTGTCAGGCGATTCTTCTGCTTCAGCCTTCCAAGTAGTTGGAACCACAGGTGCATGCCACAATGCCTTGCTAATTTTTTGATTTATTTTAGAGATAAGGTCTTGCCATGTTTCTCAGGCTGATCTTGAATCCTTGGGTTCAGGCAATCCTTTTGCCTCAGCCTCCCAAAGTGTGTTATTACAGGCATGAGCCACTGCACCTGGCTAATTGTATTTTTTAATTTTTCTGAGTATTTTCAGTCTGTGGTTGGTTTACTCTGTGAATATGGAAACTGGGGATATGGAGGGCTGACTGTATATGTTTCAGAGTTGATTCCAAGGAGAAGTGAGAATATTAAATAGGTTGATTCAGGTTTTATTTTAAGAACATTTTCTTAATAATTTAAAATTGCTTACTTGTATTTTATCTTTCTTCAGGGAATCCAGTTGTACATTTATTGCATTCTTGTTACCTTTTTTAAAAGTCAGTTTCTCTTTGATACTTTTAAAATATGTGTTCTTATTTCAGTTTCATTTCTTAGTTTTATTCTAGTTTCAGATCCTGTCTTTATCTCTTGCTGTTACTGTAGTTGTTATCTTTTCTCCCTTGTTCAACTCTTTATTTGGTTTTCATTTCTTAGATGATTTACTTTGTCGGTTTTCTTTCCTGAATGTATTCAGCTTTTGTTTACTATTTTTCTATTTTTGTCTTTATTCTTATTTGTAGTGTTCATTAGCTCTGAAGTTGTTTAAAAGTTATATTCGATACATATTGTCCTAATGGTGGTGGAATGAAAATACTGTGAAACACGAAACTATAGGAGCGTGGTCTGCATCAAGTGGATCGCACAGAAAGCTGATGCGTGAGAGTGCATGGTTATGGGAATCAGACAGAGGCTGCACTGCTGCTCCCTCTGCTCATGGCATTTAAAAAGAGTTTTCTTCTGCCAGGAGGCTTTGATTTTCTGTTTTTGCAGCATATTTTTTTGGAAATTAGATTCTCTTTTTCTGTTAGTGATTGTTAGGTTTTTCTGAGCAAACCACAGCCAGTGATCCTGTTGGAAGTGGTAGTTTGGGCGGCTTGCCAAGAAGGTCCCCTGCTTATGCTGCGCTAAATTTTAATGTCGTTGAGAAATGGTGTCTTTTGTGCCAGTCATTCTGACCTGTCATCTTGGATTCTGCGAGTCCGTCTTGCTTTTGTAGGGCCCTTTTCTTTCCCTTCGTCCTGGACAAGCTTCCTTCTAAGGCCCTCTCTGCACCCTAGAAATGGCTCCTTCCCGAGACTGCCTTTTCCGGTCCTTCCCAGTCTCCAAGGCCCTTCTTTTGTGTCCCTGTCTCTGGGACTCTGAATCATCATGCTTTGTGTGCTACCCATTTAAGAGACACCACTTTCCTTTGACAGGTCAGTATTTGATGACACTTGCATCATTTCTTGAACCCTGAGGCACTTCCGTTTTTCCGTGCTGTCACTCTGGTCTGGCTCAGGATCTAATTCTGCTGATTTGACATCTTTACTTGGCCACTTACATATTAGTCCAGGGTATCCTCTTTCTCCTTGTTATGATGGGCATTTTAATTAGGTCTCTTATTTGATCTTTGTGTCTTTGGAGGGTGAGGAGAGAAATTTAAATTTAGACAGCTGCCATTACCTTATGGGATCTAGCTTTTAGGTGAAAAAAATAATTTTACTTATTTGTCCTAATTTAGGTGCTAAAATATCATTACTTCTCACTTCATACCCTGTTTCAATAGAGACTTTCAAAATTTTGCTTAAGTTCTATTTTAAATTTTATTACCTTTACATTTTCTGATTATTTGGTTCTTTATTCTTCTTGTCTTTATTGTCATACTGGGTATGGATTATTCAATAATTTCAATAATTATTAACCATAATAAATCATTTGGGGATCATTTTGAAAACACAATGGGATTTTGGAGGAGTAGGATCCAATGGTGTATCACTTAATCCTATTCCAGGGTAAGAACTAGATTGAAGTCATGGTTAATATTCTTGTAAGATTATTCATTTAGTAAATTGTGAGTTGATAATGTGAAGATATTAGACTTCCATGATCATGATTTTAAATTATCACTTTATTTGTGAGTGAAATATTTCGGATAGCAATCAGTGTATCCTCTTTATCGTGTACTGTTGTCACTCAGCATATACTTTATTCAAAGACTGCTATGCATTAGATATTGTTCTAGGTATCAGGAATAGAAAATGGAAAAGACATCATTCTTTCTAAAGAAAGACATGTGGAGATACACCGATAAGCACTTAAGGTATTATGTAAGGGCTATGATAGAGTGGACATAGGGTTCTCTAGGAGCTGATAAGAGGGTGGAATCAGGTGTAATTTCCTCCTTTCTTTCTTCCTTTGTCTCTTCTTTCCTAATGAACATTTGTTGAGCTCTGTGGTGGATGCTGGGCATAGAGTGGTGACTAGGGTGGTCAAGGTCTCTTTTCAGACTCCACACCGTTTTGAAGAAGATGGTGCTTGATCATGGAAAGGAACTGTTATCCAGGATACCACCTGAGTAGTAGGAATTACGTTTCCTAGGGGAGATTATTTCTAAACTGCAAGTCTTGATTAACTTAACCATGTGAAGAAGTTGGTAGAATGATTTTATAGATTGCAAAGAATCAGATATGGGAGAGAGCATAGTGCTTTCAAGGTGAAACACCTCATTTGGTATCCTTGGAACGTAGGGTCTGGTGGGCGAAAGATACGCCTGTAAGGGTAGGCATGGGGGAGTCTAGAGGAATTTCATACTCTCCTTGTTGTTAGGGCGGTAAAAGGGGTCATATACTAAATATGTCTGAGAATGCAGTGGTTAAGTTAAGCCTCGAAGAACAAATAGGTATATGGGAAAAGAGGTTGGGAGGGTGGGCAGAGGAATACTCCGAGGCACGAGAACATGTACCATGTTCTGGTGATAGAAGTCATTCCAGATTCTAGAGTGGAATATGTGAGGTGTAAAGTAATGGAAGGCAAAACTGGGCAGTTAGACAGTGAGGGTCATGAAGGAGTTTCTGTTTTATATTTTACTGATTAGAGGAGATCATTAAAGATAGATTATACAATACCCATTCTAAAAAATGAACTAAATGCAGTAAGTCTCCAACATAAGAACAAGTTCCATTCTGGAAGTGCGTTTGTATATACAATTTGTTGGTAGTCTAGCAAAGTTAGCCTAAGTGCCCAACTAACACGATTGGCTAAGTAGTACTGAATGTACTTAACAGGCTATACTGCCTCCTATTGGAGAGATAATCCATAAAAACACATGTTGACATTTTTGAAAGTTTGCAACTTGATGGTTCGTATGTAGGGTAAACTTTGTATTAAGACATATAGAAAACATTTTCATATAGCAGCTTAACTGTATATCTTATCAAGTAATATTTAAAACACAAAAATTAATAAATCCTTATTTTATTTTTAAATTTTCAGATAGAAAATCCTCGGTACCTGAGGCAGAAGACTATTCCAGTTTCTCTGGTATGTGGGAGATCCATTGGTCTTTTTTAGGGGCAGGTGTTTTTAAATAAAATAATCATTAAGTCATCTACAGAAAATAATGCAGATTCACATTATTAGGCTTAATGGTTTTTAATAATCCTGTTACTTGGAAGTAAATTAATCACTTTTTTCTCTCCAGTGTTAGTATTATTTTTGCATGGGTTTCAAGCAGTTTAGAAGTTTACTTCTGGCTTAAGGATAAGCCAGATCTGCAGAAGTATTAAATAACTCGTTCTTCTTCAACAGATGACTCCCAAATTCAGCCTGAGAAAATCCAGCAGTCTCCATGATGATCATTTCCTATCTCGAATGTATGAGAAAGAGGTAGGACTGAGGTAGTTCTGATGTACCTACTTGATGTAACAGTTTTACTGTTTTGTATACTGAATTTTCACGTTCAGTTAGAATAATGATGCATGGCAGGAGGCGGCTGCCTTTGAAACAAACACAACATCATGATTTCGGGTCAGCAGCGCTCTGTTTCTGTCTTTACCACTCATCTTCAGTCATGTGTGTCCCAGCTCTGCTCCTGCTAGGCAAGGAGTGCTGAAGCTCCTTCCTTCAACTACTGATTATCGTGAGCTAGGGAAATGGCAGTTTTCAGAAAAATATCTTTGACTTCCCTGACTCCCTCTTCCCTCCCTTTATTTCAGCCTACTTCGAAAGTATCTTCCTGGTCTCACTATTCTTTCTATTCCTACTAGTTAAACTGGTCTGCTAAATTCACCTGTGTGATAGCTAATATATGACATCATATACTACTTTCTTTGATCATTTACAAGGGTAATTATTAAAGAGGCAGTGTTATTTATTGGTTGAGAGTGTAGGCCAGGGAACCAAGAGTATGGTTTCATCTACATACTAGCTGTGTGAAAATGGACTGATGCTTATCATCTCTGAGTGTCGGTTTCCTCATCAATATTGGAATACCAATTTTGTAGGATTATTGTGAAGATTGTTTAGTCTATACATACGCACCTATCACCTTTATATATGTATAGGAGTTATTAAATAAATGCCAATTAAAAAATTTTCTTTGAAAACATTTTGTTCTGGGAAACTTAAAGTCATTACTGTTATTTATATTTTGGCTTATGAGACCACGGAGACACTTTGGTAATCTGTGTGATATTATAAAAGATTATTAGAGTAGGTATTTGAAAACTGTTTACTTAACCTACCTTTATTAGTCTCTGGTCATATGACCCAGGGAAGTCAAGATAGATTTTTTTTTTTTGAGTTGGAGTTTCACTCTGTCACCCAGGCTAGAGTTGATCTGCTGGGCTGCAGCCATCCTTCCACCTCAGCCTTCCAAGTAGCCAGAACTACAGATGTGCGTTACCACACCTGGCTAATTTTTTATTTGTTGTAAAGACGAGATTTCGCCAAGTTGCCCGGGCTGGTCTCGAACCCATGGACTCAGGTGATTTACTCACCTTGGCCTTCCAAAGTGCTGGGATGACAGGCTGAGCCACTGAGCCTGGCCAAGAATAGATTTGATCTCACAAAATTGTTACCACAATCAAAAGGCAATAATAAATATTTATGCCACTTGCAAATTATAAACCACCATTTAAATGTGCAAAATATTATTATGGAACTATAATTATTTATTTAAATAATTTTATTTTCTTTCTTTGTAATGAGGAGGCTTCTAAGATTTCTTGAATTTCAATTTCTATGTGATTCTTCCCATTGTGATAGAGTTTTTTCATCAGTCTGTTTATAAAATATCAGGAAAAACATGTATATATGTTTCTTTGATAGTCTAAGCAATAACATGGGCATATATTTTTTCCATTGTTGATAATGGAGGAGAAAGACTACTTTTTCTTTTATAAGTTCAATCTACTGATCTTTTAATATCCTTTCTTACTTTATAGCTTAAATTGAAGGTATGCAGGGTTTTCTTTTCTTAATTTACAAGTAAAAATTGTGTGCTGTATACAACATGATGTTTTGAGATATGCACACATTGTGGAATGGATAAATTGAGCTTGACAGATGAAATATCTAGCATACTTACTATTTTTTATGATGAGAACACTCGCATCTCTTTTCTAAGTGGATTTTAAAAGGTGGTGTCTTGTTATGACTTAAAGTTGCCGTGTTGATAAAGGCTCTCCAGGCTTTACAACCACCGTCTACTCTCCAGTTTTGTGAGTTCAAATTCTTTGTGTTCCACCTGTGATTGAGAGCATGCAATCTTTGTCTTTCTGTGTCAGGCTTATTTCACGTGAGATGAGTCCTGTACGTTCATCCATGTTGTCCTAAATGACAAGATTTCCTTCTTTTTTAAGGCTGAATAGCATTTCATTGTGTGTGTATATCACATTTTCTTTATCCATTCATTCATGATGGACATTGATACTGATTTTATATCTTAGCTATTGTAAATAAGAATATAGTGAACATGTGAGTCCAGATATCTCTTCAACATACTGATTCCATTTCCTTTGGATGCATATCCAGTAGTGAGATTGCTGGATCATATGGTAATTCAGGTTTTAGTTTTAGGAGGAGCCCCCATGCTGTTTTCTGTAAAGGCTGTGCTAATTTGCATTGCTGCCAGCAGTATGCCAGGGCTCCCTTTTCTCCACGTCCTCTGCAGCACGTTGTTATCTTCCATCTTCTTGATGATAGACATTCTAACAGGTGGAAGGTGGAAGGTGGAAGTTCCATATAGTTGTGGTTAGCACTTCTCTGATGATTAGGGATGTTAAGCATTTTTCATATTCTTGTTGGTCATTTGTATGTGTTCTTTTGATAAATGCCTATTTAGATCCTTTGCCCATTTTAAAATCAGATTATTTGTTTTCTTAGTATCTTTTTTGAAGTCAGTCTTGTGCTGTCACCCAAGCTGGAGTGCAGTGGTACAGTCACGGCTCACTGCAGCCTCGACCTCCTGGTCTCAGGTGATCCTTCTGCCTCAGCCTCCTGACTGTAGGTGTATGTAATCATGCTCGACTAATTTTTTGATTTTTTTTGTAGAGACAGGGTCTTACTATGTTGCCCAGGCGGCTCTTGAACTCCTGGCTTCAAGCAATCCTCCTGCCTCAGCCTCCCAAAGTGCTGGGATTATAGGGGTGAGCCACCACACCCAGCCTGTTTTCTTACTATTTAGTTGTTTGAGTTTGTTACAAAGTTTGGATAATTAACTTCTTATCAGCTATATGATGTGCACATATTTTCTTTTGTTCTCTGGGTTGTCTCTCCACAGTTGATTATTTCCTTTGCTATGCAGAGCTTTTTTTGATGTAATCTCACTTGCCTATTTCTGCATTTGTTGAATGTGCTTTAGGGTTCATATCTAAAAAAATCATCGCTCAGATCAGTGTCACAGAGCTTTTCCTCTGTGTTCTCATCTAGTAGTTTTATAATGACAGGTCTTGCATTTAAGTCTTAATTTTGAATTGATTTTTTTATATGATATAAGGTAAATATCTGACTTCATTCTTCTGCATGTCCTTTTCCCATTGTATATTCATGGTGTCTTTGTCAAACATCAACTGACTGTAAATGTGTAGGTTTATTTTTGGGCTCTCTATTCTATTTCATTGATCTATATGTTTTTGTGCCAGTTACCATGCTGTTTTGATTATTGTAGCTTTATAGTATATTTTGAAATCAGGTAGTGTGATGCCTCCAGTTTTTTCTTTTTGCTCAAAGTTGTTTGGCCTATTTAGGGTCTTTTGTGGTTTTATACAAATTTTAGGTTTTTAAAAAATTTCTGTGGGAAATGCCATTGGGAATCAACCTAGATGCCCATCGAAGGTGGACTGGATAAAGGAATGTTGTACATGGGCAAATGAAATACCATGCAACCTTAAGGAAGAATGACATCTTGTTCTTTGTAGCAACATGGTTGCAGCTGGAGACCATTCTAAGTGAACTATCACAGAAACAAAAAACTGAATACCATACATTCTCACTCATATTGGGCATGAGAATGGGAACAACAGATGCTGGACACACTAAACAAGGAGGGAGGGAGAGGGGATAAGGGATACAAAGCCAACCATTGGGTGGAATGTCCACTACTTGGGGGGGGGGTTGTCAGAAGCCCCGTTCTCGCCCTCATGCAGCATACTTAGGTAGCAAAGCCTCACACATACCCCATGATTCTAAAATTAAAAAAAATGCCATTGGAGTTTTGATAGATATTGCACTAAATCTATAGAATATTTTGTTGGGTATCCTGGAAATTTTAACAATATGAAATCTTTCAGTCCATGAACATGGGAAATCTCTCCATTTATTTGTCTCTTCTTCAGTTTCTTTTATCAAGGTTTTATATTTTTTGGTGTACAGGTCTTTTACCTCCTTGATCAAACTTGTTTCTAAGTGTTTTATTTTTTGGATGCCTATTATAAATAGATTGTTTTCTTGAGTTTTTTTTTTTTTTTTTTTATTAGTCTGTTGTCATTGGATAGAAAAGCTACTGTTTTTTTTGTATGTTGATTTTGTATTTTGCAATTTCACTCAGTTCATTAATTAATTCTAACAGTTTTGATGGAGTTTGGAGGTTTTTCTGTATACAAGATAATGTTGGCTGCAAACAGAGACAATTTGGATACCTTTTATTTCTTTCTCTTATTGCTCTGGCTAAGACCACCAGTACTGTGTTGAATAGAAGTAGTGACAGTGGACATCCTTGTCACATTCCTGGTCTTAGTGGAAAAGCTTTCAGTTTTTCACTGTTGTATATGATGTTATCCTTGGGTTTGCCATATATATCCTTTATTGTGTTGCGGTGTATTCCTTCTATACCTAATTTTTTAAGTTTTTATCATGAATGGATGTTGAATTCTGTGAAATACTTGTTCTGCATCATTGAGATGTATGGTTTTGTCCTTCATTCTGATGTGTCATATTTATAGATTTCCATATGTTGAAACATTCTTACATCGTTGGAATAAATTCCACTTGCCCATGGTGAGGTGGGATATCTCTTAACTTTGAGGTTGAATTGTTTGCTAGTATTTTGTTGTGGACTGTTACATCTATGTTCATCAAGAATGTAATTTCTGTAAATTTCTTGTTGTGTACTTGTGTGGTTTTGATGTTAGGGTAAAGTTGCCCTCACAATAGTTCAGAAGTATTCACTCCTCTTCAGTTTTTTGGGAGATTTTGAGCAAGACTGATATTAGTTCTTCTTTAAATGTTTGGTAGAATTCAGCATTGAAGCCATTGGATTTTGGACTTTTGTTTGTTGAGAGATTTAAGTTAATTATTCAATATGAATCACATTTTACATATTTTATATTGCATATACCTTAATAAATTGTATAGCTATTATGATGTTAAATAGTATAATATCTTCC